GTTGAGTTCACTACGCACTGCTAAGATCTAAATGAGCATATACCTGAAATATATAATCTTCATTTCTTGTACAATCATATAAAAACTAGATGAATTTCTAAACATGGTTGTGTTCACTTCAAATAATAATCTGTAATATAATAAACAATAACTCACCTTATATTTATTATCTACTGTAGATAACTTAGTTATCTGAGCAATAACGCAGGAGCAGTTATCTGATAATATGTATTTAACATAAAAATAATATTTGATTTTCACTTAGATATTTATATATTTAATTATATTTATTATGGTTATCTCGATAAATATTCATAATAAAGTTTCGTACAAAATTCTCTGTTTTTTTCACATGAATTGTCGAGATTGTAGATATTTACTAAGTATAATGACTACAATATATACATACATATAATAGTATATATTGTGGTCGGTTGGGTAGTACCCGTGGGTGCCGATGTTCAAAGAGGGCAGCACAAGAGCCATGCACTAGTAAAGCCTATTAAATTTGGCAGTGACTTTTTACAAAATATTGGGACTGTGACACAACGAGACTGGTCATTTTTCTTTGTTGATTTTATCGTCGTCGGGGGCGTTGTTATTAGTTTATCGTTTGTAAACGTGCTAGGTGGACTGAGGCACTAAGGTAGACCCTGGTGATGCGATTGCATCACAAAGTATGAACCGATTTTGATAATTCTTTTTGTAAACGATATTGCTCCCATAACACTGAAAAAAAGAACGCGATAAATGTCAACTTTTAATCACTTCAGTTTTTGTTTGCGGGTTAATAAAACTGTTTGATTTTTTACCTTTCTAGATTTATTTTATTTGATTTCCGTATTTCTTCCTATTTATTTTCGTTTATGTTAAAATGTTGTTCAGTTCAAAGTCAATGTCATTATAAAGCTTTCAGTGATATTAAATGGGTACCAACCGACTTGTATAACATTGTTGTATTTATTGCCATTTACCAAGCCGTGTTACTGCAAAGCTTTGTTGCCTGCGATCACGACGCCATGTTCGTTACAGAAAAACCGCGCCAGTGAACTTAATGACTCGAATAGGAGCCACGATATTTTGTATAAAATCACAACCAAAAATTTGTTACAGTATAATATAAACAGTTGACGAGCTAACACGACACGGTGGAATATTCAAATAGGGTGTATTTCATTCTAGTCACATATTTTCGTATCATTATAGTTAATAAAAATAATAATCCTGATATACATATTGGTGTAACAGTGAATAAACACGCAAGGCTTTTCAAGTGTTCGGCAAGTTTTGCTGCGAAAGTGACGGTAAGGATTGTTTTTCTAATAGAAACCGCGTTATTAAATGTGTCTAGTAACTGTGAAACATATAATACTCCATACCAAGCCGCCTGGCCAGAAATATTTTTATAACAATGTTATGATATGCATTTAGGAAATTAAAATCATTTCAACCAACTTCAAAAAGAAGAAGGTACTTAATTCCATTATATTTTTGTTTGTTTATTACTTAACTCAGTTATAAACAGATTTGAAAAAAATCTGTTCTTATTTGAAAAGAGGTATATACCTACAGATTAATCATATAGAAATTTTACCAAACTCAGTTTAGTAGTTTAGTTTTTAAATCAAAGTAACTTTTGGTTTGGTTTGCTACAATTGAAGTTAGTTTTTTTTTGTGGAACACAATCCTAAATACGTATATGTAAATGTATATCTTATATTATTATATGGATATGAATATTAAAAATTCGATTTTTGAAATTCAATTTGAGAATTAAAAAAATTCTATCTAATAATCTAGTTTATTATAATTATAAAAAGTCAGTAGGGATTTACGAGTATTATATTGATTGGGGGCTAGCGGCTTCATTTTTTCAAATTACCTTTTAAAGTGGATTGTCACACGGTCCTCATAGACATCACCGTGGTTAATTTCTAATGAATTCGTGACGATAGTTCACGTCTGACCTAACTTCATCTTCACCTGCTATTCCTTATTATTTTTTTAATGAAGAGACCATCGCCTGCGTCATCGGTATAAATTGGTGGGGTATTTGCAAGGGATGACAGATAAGGATGAAGTCAGGTTAGTGGATCTATAGTGGCTAATTTATTAGAAATATAACCTCAACGTCTTCCAGGAAGATCGACCTAATCTCATCCCTTTTATTACAAATACATCTGCCAGAATTAGTAGTAATGGGGCCGCTAATCCCCATTACTGACAATGCCCTCGCTGCTTTAGGGTTAACATCACGTGCCGTGTAATTACAAGTTTAAAAAAGCCATGCTTTGTACAGTTTAAATTGCACATGCATAATGCGGCATGGGGCCGACGTCATTTGCTTTGCAGTAATATTTTTGCTACTAATGCGCCTGCACGGCTCGTAAAAGGAACTCCAGGATTACGAAAATGCAGTTTTATACATGTTTTAATGGTGGTTGTATTTCAAGTTCATTAAGTGAGAACTGCCTTGGAAAGTGTTCACTTCCAGTAACTCGTAATAAGATTAATATACGTCTGGATAAATGGTTAGTTTTATAGATATTTATATTAATAATATATAAAAAGTATTTTGAATATTTTTTATTACTTTTCTTTAATTGAATTACTGGCCAGTGATTTATATGAACCTATTTGAATATAATTTGCGGTTAGTACAAATATCTATTATTTTCTTAATTTAATATAATAATAATTTCTGTTAAAGATGTTGTAGAATTATTTTTATTAAAGTCGCATAAAAAATAATTTAAGTAACATTATTGAAGTACGGCATTCACGAACAGTTGTTTCGACTGCATCGGAAAAAGTGAAAACATTATCAGAGGATCTAGTGTATATATTAGCGTATCTCAGGTTATTAACATCTTGTAAAAGTCATCTGGTATCTTTATCATAATATATTAGTGACCCACTTTTGGTTTGCATGTTTTTTTTTTTAATAAAGAACAGCCTATGTAGCTTTCCATAGGTGAAAGAATCTTAAAGTCCATTAAGTAATTTTTAAGTTTATTCATTACAAACAAAAAATCGAATATTTCTTTTTTATTACTAGTTTAGATTTATTATTTATCAAATACGTACATACCGGGAGCGTAGTGATGTAGTTTTATAATAACAGTGTTCATTTCATAGTCGTGAATAATTACAGGAAATTAGAGTAAGTGATTAATGATACATAAGTGGTACCTACGTTATACTTGTGAAAAGTCTAAATAAATATATTTACGACTGTAATCTTTGATAGGGTACTCAGAGACGTTGAGTGTTATCGTTATAATGAAGAAAAGATTTGAGTAATTACTTTTTATTTCATCGGTATAATTTAACGCATAAAAATGAGATAGGTAGTATTAAAAAGCTTTATCAATTCTAATTTTCATTAACATATAATGGTGTTTAATTAATGATAAGCTCTCTGTATCTTAATTGACTTTTCAAAATTAGCACTTCAATTGAGAAATCAAGTAATTACTACCTACAATTGATTTTTTTTTAGTACGTTTGTTTCGTTATGGAACAGGCTAAGGTCGGAGACCATGCTGCCTAGTCTTCACTATGATAATTTGTCTGGAATTTTCAATTGATTTTAAGTCAATGATGACACGTGAGTTTGTTATTATTGACAATCTGTTTTTTTTACAAACCTCTAACAAAGCAACGTTGGCATATTGGATATTTTTTTCGCGATTTCGGGTAAAATGTTAATGATCGCAAAATTTTAAAGAAGTGAAATTATTGTAGAAATTTTTGGAAAAAAGCAAAATGAGCTTGAAAAATTTAAGCAATTTTTTTGAAAAATTTTGATAATTGTTTTAGTACTTGTAAAGTATATAAGACACTAAAATACAATAAAGATACATAAGAAGAAAAAAATAGAATCAAAAGAGATTATTTTTCTTAGTTTATCGCTTTATTGTATATGGCAAAATGTAGTAAAAAACGTTACAAGCTGTGATTGGGTAAAATTTCCGTAAATCGTATTGATTTAGAAAAACACATATTTTGTTTAGGTAAAAATTAAAATAGTCATCTGGCAACCTTGGACAAAATGGCGAACTAGTTATTAGTCTCCCTAATCTGTGCTCTCATATAGGTACTCTATGTTAGTGGTCATTGACATTTGTCTTTTGTTATTGTTTATTCTATTGTTTTTTTTTCTTTTTTAATGAATTAACTTGAGATAATTGTAACTAAAAGAATATTAATACCTATATTTTTTTAATCAATATGGGTTACCTTGTAAAAACTTTTAAGTATTTGCTTGAAAGATTTAAGGTTAGTACATTATATTAAAAACCTAGAATTAACTCGCTAAGTAACAAAGAAATTATAGTAAAAGTTCTCCACTGACTTAAGATTTGCTTTGTTCTGTTTAAGTAAGTAATAGTACTTAATGGCAATTATGAAAAAAATATACGATTATACTAATCTTGTTCTGGAATTATAAATAACTTTCTGGTTCATATGTATTTTATTATTAATTAATTGATAGGTATAAAAGAGATTAATTAATTGGTTGCTATTTATGTATTTGCAACTCAAAGAAATTAAAATTCAAAACAATCAAATTTAAAAAGGAGGGGACTCTCAGTTTGGTTATATTTTTAATGTTTGTTACCTAATATTTAAATTAGTTATAAACCGACTTACAATATTCTTTATCTGAAAGTATATACTTACAGGTTCATCCCATAAAATTTTTATCAAACTTAGTTCAATAGTTTAGTTTTGAAACCAAAGTAACTGGTTTTGCTACATTTGAAGTTGTGGAAATCGTGGAATGCAATCTAATTATTGTGTATTTTTGAGATATTTTTGGCAATTTTGAATTAGTTTAAGTAGGTATAAATGAAAGAGTTTTCTTCTGTTGGTCTTATTCCCATATTAATTTTGTTGAAATTGAATTATATTTATGGGGAAACTTAATGACAAATAACAATTGGTTTTAGGTATATTTATGAGACATATCTGATGAAAACTTATATTTTTTTTAGACTGTATTAGAATCTGGGAGTGTGGGGAACGCTTCATCATCTGATGAAGAGTTGGAGCAGTGGGAGCAGATATTTATGATGAGAGATGAGAATGGAAACAGTTATAATGACAAGTGAGTATAAACATATAAAAATGCTTAAATTCATTTACACAGATTTAAATTCAATACATATGTACATTCTATAATTGTATTATGTCTCAATCATGAAATATAATAATATATAACACTTTTAGTTTCTTAATGTATAATGTTATATATTCTTTATAATTACAAACCTTTACAAATATTATGAATGTAAAAGTGAGTTTCAATGTTGGTGCTTTAATTTCTTAACCAATATCATGACTATTTTAAATTAAACTTGATATAAATAGTCTTTATTTTCATGTATATACCCATAGTTTACATTCATTAGTGTAATTTTTATGAATTACAATTTCTACATTATAGAAACATTAATTAATAAATTATTATTATAATTTTATTGTAAATTTCTTGATCATCAGGTATGCAGTATGAAATACTGTCTTAACAATATAATTACTTATTTTCATTAATTTTTCATGAAAATAAAGCTTCATTAGCTTTGATATCCCTATAGTGCATATTAAATTAATACAGAACTTTTTTATTCTATTTATATATTTTATACACTATTATTTTGATATAAAGACATACAAAGATTGTTTAATACATGTATAAAAAGAAAGATGTATAATCTATTAACTGTCATGGTTTATTTTGCCAGAAGAAAAAAAAGAAGTATATGGTGTCGACCATCCTGTATTCCAGTATCGATAGTAATAGTCCTGATTGTGTTGGTTGTGTTGGTACCACTGCTTGATCAGCCTAACGTGGTGCCCACGACACCACCAATGGCTCCTGTTAGCTTACATTGCTCAGATGAGTGTAGGTCAGTATTAGAATAAAATAGAAATAATTCTTAATTAAAAAATAAAATATTATAAATACTTCTAAATTATCCATTTTTTTATGATAGTGTTGCTGGATTCAGAATGTTGTTGTCTATTGGAAAGATTCTTCAAAAAATTTTACAGTTTTTTAACCAACTTCAAAAAGGTTTTTATTTAATATGTGCATCTTAATAATCATAATATTGCTAATTGTTTTTATGAATTTGTTTTGTAAATCAAGGAACTAAGTATGGTCACAGGCAAATTTTATTTATGTTTCAAGTATTTTTTTGTAAACAATATTAAATGATTATAAATTTGATGCTAATAGAATAAAGTAAAATAGAAATAGAATGAAATAATATTATTCTACTTTTATTATTTAGTATTAAAAAATATCTGTACATAGAATTTACAATTATAAATATTATGAACAAACAACTACAACTAATAACAACCTATAACTAATACTCGCGCTTTATAATAGTGATAATAACAACACAAACAAACACCATTTCGGAGTTAGTTGAAAAATTAATTAATTTTCCTTGAACTCTGTCCTATGTCATATTAAAACTAGTTGTCATTAATGTTAGTTCGTAATAAATCATTTTCCCTTCATGCTTGTTTATTCATGCTGATAAAGCTTAACGATTTCGAAAGTCATAAAATTAATTATCATTATTTTACGTTTTAGGTTATCATTAGTAGAAAGTATACCGGAAGGTCATATGTACCCTCCTAATATAACACATCTAGCCACAAAGAATGTGTGGCTAGATTTAATTGATGAAGCTCAAACGACTATTGAAATAGCGTCTTACTATTGGTCTCTTAGATTTAATGAAGAATATCCTTATAATTCCTCTATAGAGGTAAGTTAATGAAATTGGTATAATTGTAGGTGATTTTTTTAAATTGCATTATCAGAATTTTGCCTAGAAATTTATGTATATATATATTCCCAAGGAGGGTTGACATCAGGCAGGCAGTCGGTAGTAAAACTAAGAGCTAAAACCTTGGGTAATATGGATAAAAACATATTACATTCATCCCAAAATTTATATAATTGGGATAAGGGTAGGAAAATGATGATGATGATATATATAAAAAGCAGAAAATAAAAGCATTCCATATCACAAGGAGTGATGGTTGTAACTGATTGAAGGGGTGATGGTCCTATTATGTTGTATATATGGTTCTATGGTATTAAAATGGTAGTTCATTTAAATGCTTCTACATTCCTTATAGAAGCTGAATACTTATTCTATATCTGTTGCGAATCTGTTTTAAATTATAATATTTTTTCCAGGGAGAACAAGTGTTCCAAGCTTTATACGCTGCTGGGTCTAAAAGAAATATTAATTTAAAAATTGCTCAAAATTGGCCCACTAAGTTATACCCTAATATAGATACTGAATATTTAGTTAAGAAGAAAGCTGCCCAGGTTTGTGCTGCTGACTTATCATGATTTTTTTTTTTTATAATTATTATTTGTTTTTGTTATATTTTTTACTGTTTGCAGGTGAGGAGTTTAAACTTCTCCAAATTGCTAGGAAATGGACTGTTACACACGAAGTTCTGGATTATTGATAGAACACATTTCTACATCGGCAGTGCTAATATGGATTGGCGATCACTCACACAGGTAGAAAGAAGTTTCAAGTGTTTTACCATATAATACTCGTTTATAAGCGATATTACGCGATTTAGGGAACACCATTTTTTGTTAAAAATTCTCCTATGTAAAATTTTCTAGTACAGCAATATTTACTGTATTACATGAATCGATTTTCATAGACGTTATCACTGGATTTCTTCGCTCTTTGTTACATCATATGCCACAGTGAGTAAGCGAATGAGTGCAGTAAACCAAATCTATTGATATTATATACTTATGAAACTTAAAAAAAAACTTAACAAAAGCCTAAGGAACAATGGGTTGAAATAGGGAAATACTTATTAAAAATAAAAACTTACATTATTATTTTAATAATTTAACTTCGCTTCTTTTATCTTTTGTGGTTACATAAAAGATATATAGTATATAATGATATATAGCAAGTGAATGGGTCAACGGATGGATTAGAGTAACCCTGAATAAATGCCTGCTAATTTAGTATTTTTTGGAAGAAGAAATTCATGATTATTTGGCTAATAGTGGATTTTATTTCTAGGTGAAAGAGCTCGGTATAGTCGCCTACAACTGTACCTGTCTCGCCAAAGACTTGGGGAAGGTGTTTGATGTAAGTATAATACGAGTCGCATACTAGGAGGAGGGGCAGAGTGGGGGGACAATGGGTGAAATTTGGTTGACACACAAATTGATTTTTTCCATTTGAAAATATTTAATAGAGTTTGACACTTCACTCCTGCCTCCCCATATCCATTATTAAATAAATCGTTCATTTTGCATGTAGCATGACATTCCAACTGACTTAGAAAAATTTTCCCCTAAAAACACGAGGCCTAATCTATACATATAATAAAACTGTAGAGGTCGAATGTCTGTACATAGACAAAAAAAAAAGACGTTAAAAACCGAGTTAGGGGGATGTTAGAAGTGAAATATCACACCTAGATTTTTTTCTAATTTTTTGTTTCTCTGTCTATTTACGGGCTAATCTTCGAAACTGTTGGACCGATTTAAAGAAATTTTGAATGATGGTACCTTACATCCCCAGTCAATATTTTAGATACTTTTAGTTACGGAAATTTAAAGAGTTGCGGTGGGATAGTTAAAAAACTAGTAACTTATACAGCTTAGTTCACAACCTATTTAAGTAGTCATTTTGACCTAAGGCAAAGAGTGAGAACGACACGTCATTTGTTAATTTTGGTCCTAACTACATCGATACATATAAACCTGTGAAAATTTCAAACTTACCTTCTGGCTTCCGCCATACAAGTTGCATATATTCTGCAGTTCATCCTTCTATTTGGAAGGAGAAGAATTTAATTAAATTATTTAGATTCTTTGTTTTATTCTTTTTTTTTTGTGACTTAGAATGGCAAGCAAGCTGACGGCCCACCCGTTGGAAAGTGATAATAATCGCCAATACATATATCGTTGTTAGTTGGTGGGAAACAGCGTCCCTCTTAAAACATACTTAACTGCGGTTTTTAACCCGTCTGCCAAGCGTGACAACTACTGCCATAAACTAGGAGAGGCCTATGTTCAGCAGTGGACAGTTAACGGCTGCAGTGATGTGTGATGATGGTGTTATGCCTTCGTGGTCTTTAATTTCATTACCATATTTCACCCTTCAAACTGAAACACAGTCACATCTGCTTCACGGGAGAAAGACGGACATGACATCAGGAGATCATCAACCTTGGTATTGTTAGTAATACGGATTAGCAGTTTCATTGCTAGCAATATACTTTATCAGGTCGACTTCCACGTGGAAACTATCGTACTGAATTCTAGGTGTATTCATCACGATAGGCTAACTGACCTGCTTTTTCATTCTAACCTATCATCTCTCACTGGTGCCCCGCCAGTGTATACCGTTAGCGCAGGCGGGGTTACCAGTCCATTATCGTCCATAAAAAAACATTCGATATTTTGAACGGTCTTCCTTTAGTAATCTTACTACCTATTAAGGTACTCCCTACGTAGGTAAATATGGTATTTATATATTGTGTTACTTTGAATTGAAGTTGCTTACATTGTTATTTTGTAACATAATTGCGCAATTTCAATATCGTGTTTGTCACGGACGCTGTCGCATGTTGACAGCGCATTAGACGTTTTTAAAATAACATTTTTATTTGTTGAAAATGTTGGAATTATAACCGTAATAAATAAAGACAATAAGCTTGACAGAAATTAAAGCATCTTAAAAAATAAATTGGCATTAATAAAAATTGGTAATAAAATTGATATTCTTGGGGAAATCAGCGTACAGTCATACAAATAAGTTTAGACCGTAATGAAGGAAGCTTACTTGCAGTAGTTAACAATAAATGCCTAATATGAATAGCGATTCAGATGACACTATGAGATATTATATACATATATATATGAGGTTGCGGAATGATCTTTTTGCCGAGGTTTTCCCTAGAGACTGGAGCAAAAAGGGCATATTTTAAGGTTTTTTAAGGGTCGGCAATGCGCATGAGACATCCCTAGTGTTACAGGCGTCTATAGGCCCCGTAACCCCGTTTCACATCAGACGTGCCGTATGCTTGTTTGCTACCGTAGTAGTATAAAAATACACCGAAATTAATTGCATTTTACATTCCATGGCTACATGTTTACGATCTGCCATATCGTTTCAACAGTCATTGCCAGAACAAGGACTGGTAGAACGCGAGGGGAAACCTTGTGAAATGGCGACACGTTTATTTTTAGCTTTCTAACTAATGCATGCAATGCAATTAAATTTGCATGTCACAAACTTCTTTGTTTATTAAATAATCGATAATGCTTAATCTTTTCGTGTGATGACGGAGTAAGAATAAATTTGTCATAATTTTAAATTTATCCTCTTTCTACACGCGCGAAGTCGAAGCGGATCGCTAGTAATTATATAATATGCTCCAACTATATCTAATGGCTTGAGCATCTTACTATTTTTTTTATGGGCGGAAACGGAATGGTAGCCCCGCTTGTGCTGTTGGTACATATATATTGACGGGGCATCTGTAGGTGAGGATGAAAGCAGGTCAGATATCCTATTGTGACGAATTCAAGAATTAACCATTATGGTCTCCTTATAGGTCGACTTTATAGGGCGGGTATATTGCTAGCAACGGGATTATTAGTAATGGGGCCTTCGATACTAACAGTCCCCTTCCCAATTCACCAGTAGATGGAATGACTATATCGTCATAGTCGTAGAATACTGACAGATCTGACAAATATTACATATAAAGATCTGTCAGTATTCTACGACTATGACGATATGTTATTTATAAGAAGTAGACTTACACAGATGGTTCCCAATGGTTCATCGTGGCAGTCAATAGGGGAAACTACTCATGATGTAGTTTTATTAATTGAATTATCCGCCCTTTATACTCGAATTGAAAAATCATGAGGGTTCATTCATAAAATCAAGCATACTGTTTGCTTGATTGTAAGCTGTATTCGTAGGCTATGGCCTATGGCCTGCTACTAGAGGGAGACTTTGTACAAAACTCGTTTGCTTGTCCCATTCGTGTTTCAACCGTAAAACAGTTGTGTTTACATGGCTGTGTTTCGGTTTGAAGGGTGGGATATGGCGTGAATTTACAGGGTACAGAGGAATAACACCTGAGTCTTCAAGAATGGCAACGTATGGGAAGTATCATGGGTGAGACAGTGTGCTCTGTTGTGTCTGTTGCTGCTCATGTCTATAGGCGACGGTTACCACTTTCCATCAGGTGGACCATCAGCTAGTTTGCCGTTCTGGCTTATATTAAAAAAAAAATCAATTATCACACGAAGGTACCTCCAAATACATTCTCCCTTATTCTTAAAAACTAAGACGTTCTACAATCCTACTTTAACTATTACAGTATTTTGTTAAATTGAGAAATTTGTGTAAATGAAAAGGACAAAACACAAGAACAAGGACAAGACAAAACAATAGCTAAAATATGTTTATGAGTGGATTGACGTTTTATGATTAATTACCAAATTAAGTAGTGTCTAACTACACTCTTTACTCCGCTATGAAACTGGTGTGAAGATAGGTAGCCTATATAAAGTATTAAGTAGTGTCTAACTACACTGTATATAAAGTACTTACATTGCTTTCGACTGAATCGGAAATGCGTAGCGTTGTCGTTTAAAAAATAACAGAGAAAGAAGGGTGACTCAAGTCATTTCAGATTTGTTTAGTCAATGTCAACAAATTATGGAAGGTGGAGCTTTATATATTATTTTCATGAAAACCCCATAAAGGAATGCTTTCTCCCACTTAGTTCCGAAATGTTTATCATGGTGCTTGTCACGTTGATTACTGTTTAGAAGTCGGGGTGTTTTGTTATGGTATTTCAGTAATGTTATTTGTGTTAACATTATGGTGATGCATCGTAGGGTTGACCTAATTACAATACGTATTAATATTTTTAATGAAAAAGTGAGTTTTTTGTTGCTTTAAGGTCTTAACTAATGACTATGAAGTTTTTTATACACGTACTATATGGGACAGAGAAGGCTACTTTTTATCTCGGTCACTAAACATCCGGGACATATTTATTGACCGTTCCATGTCATAAAATTAACTAGGTAGTAATAAATGTAGTTAAATTATTTGTTGTAACCGTTGTGCTGAGCTACAAGCTATAAAGTTCATAATAATCACTCAGGAATATAACTAAGTCGTTCGTGTAACGTTATTGCGTCATAGTTTATCAAAACAATTGTTGATTTTATGTAAATATAATAATAATTTTAGAGACGGGTACATAATTTTACATATGAATCCTAACTGTTGTTATATAAATACGTACTATTTCTATGACGACATCATCTGTTAAGTGTCTAATGCTGATTGTAGACCTCCCCCTTGGGCAGGTTTTGCCAATAGTTGTTACGTGTGGCAGGCGGATTGGCAACCGCAGTTAGGCTTTGGTGATGTTTTTAGAGGGACGCTGTTGTTCATTTCTCGACCGTTAATTTCCTAAGTTCTCTTATGACATCCACGGGAAAGGAAGGGGTGGCCTATTCAATGCCGAGACCACACAGCTCTATTTACCTTTCTGCTCAAAATAATGTACTTAATGATTATTTAGTAATGTAGGTCTCAATGTCTGAATATAAACAATATAGTTATTGGAAATATGTTTCAATGCCAAAACCCTCAAGCCCTCCCTCTTTGTCTGAGTTAAACAAAGCCTTTCTTAAGAACTGCACATTGTGTGTAATAGTGACAAATCGGTCAAGTGTGTATATTATTATTAGGTATTATGCGATGTTATAGAATTAAAGTTAAAAAATGATTATGGATGTTTTTATATAAAGTCGAATTGTAACGCATACCACATTGTTAATTTTAGAATGAATTAATATTATGCATTAAAATTAGGGACGAAATTAATTTACAATATAAAGGCCACTTTCAAAAATTACAATTTTTTACATAATTTTTTTTTTGTAGTCAAAAGTCATAGTAGTTCTCAGTGAAAGATTCTTTGCATTTATTTTAATCGAAATAACAAAAAAGTAACTTATTATTTTCCCTAAAACGAAAAAAATCTTGATATTAATGAATTTTTCTTTTTTTAGGATTTTCTTTTTTTTTTAAATCACTAGTTTCCATTCATTTCATTCAACAACATGTTGTAACTCCTATATTAATGTATGCGGTAACATCACCCTGTACGGCTGTGGAAATCTTAAACCAAGTTTTCCTTTGTTGCTTGAAACTGGCACAGGGTTGCACCAAACTCCTACGTTCAGTTCAGTAAAGCTAACACGGCTCATTGTTGTAATATAAACGAGCTTCTTGCAAGTCAACTTGTTACTTAATCATATACGTAGAAGTTTATTTCTTAGAATAGCTACTGGGTTGTGGCGCAGTATATGTAGAATTTTAATGACAATAGACTATTCTTTTTTCAATTCTGTATTCTCAATTCTCTATTCGATTTTTTTTATTCTGAATTAGGTTATTATTATTATATTAACCGTTAACTGTCCACTGCTGAACATAGGCCTCCTCTATAAGGGGAGGGAAGTGAGTTGCGAGTAGTTGCCACGCGTGGCAGGCGGATTGGCAACCGCGGTTAGGCTTTGATGACGTTTTAAGAGGGACGCTGCTGCCCATCCTTTTATCATTAACTTAGTCGTCTCTTACGACGCCCACGAGAAAGGAAAAGCTAGTCCATTCTATGCCGGGACCACATAGTAATAAAACTGTTTATAGTATTTTTTGTTTTGTTTGTTTGTAGTCTTTTGTAATTCATATATATTATATTTTTCCTATATATAAAAATATGTAATATATCCACTATCTCCAATATTTTGAAAGTCGTCAATATATTTCTTGGTGGGTTGTCTTTCACTTCGTTTACCTTTATTGTGTTGCCTCGTTGACGTTAGTAATATTGATTTTTTCATTTCAATTGATTTTTATTTATTTATTTAATACTTTATTGTACACACTAATTATACATAAAAATATGACAGGCGTAATCAAATGTACAAAGGCAAGCTTAACTCTAAAAAAGTCCTCTTTCAGCAACACCTAAAGTGAAAAGGAGTGTCAATGTGTAATTTATGATATTCAATGTGTAATTTATGATATGTAGGTACGTGTAATTTTAATATTTCTTTTTAATCTATTTCTGATTTAATGTTTTCATAGGTGTATTGGAGCCTCGGGGCTCCTGATGCAGTTGTTCCGGACAGCTGGCCGGCTGAGCTGAGCACCGACATCAACATGGAACATCCCATCAACATCACGGATGGATCTCACAACTACGATGTCTTTATTACCGTGAGTACTATTATGTACCTATTATTGGATTCTTGTAAACTTTTCAAATTTAGTTTAACTTGTAATTATAGGGACTGGAGGTATTATTATATTATATTATTACACCTTGGTGTTTAGGAGAGGTAAAGGGGGTGTTCAAGTATTACGTAACGCAATTTTTAAAGATTTTTTACTCTCCCTCTCCCATGTAACGCGTCGTAATATTTTTCTGTACCCCACTCTCCTCTCTAAACGTTACGTACCACTCAAGTGGCCATTTTTATCTAAAAGTCACAACATTAATGAATAGTCAACGGAAACAAAATAAAAATAACATTCAATCCAGTGTAGGGATCTCCCGTGAAACATAAGGAAAAGAGATGCCAACTTGGAAAATTTCAATATCTTGTTTTTTACTTAAATAAAAAAAAAAAACAATGTTACGTAACGCGTTGGTACGCAACGTTACGTTTTACAAGACTCCCGATCGATATTTAGTTTGTAAAAAGACATACATTGTTGTATATCTTTTTTTTAATATATAAGTATATTGTTATATATGTATATGTTTTTTCCGGTATTTTGATTACCGGTAGAGTGGCCCAGTATAGATTAATAGCGCAGGCGGTGTAACCAATCCATTTTCATCCATTTGAAAAAGGCGAAAAACGTGAACGCCCAGAATTTAATTATTACTTTTTCCTTAATTGTTGTTTCAATTAATCGAATCGACCACTCTATCTTGTCAATTAATTGTTATTTTAATTGATCGAGCGACCGCTCTATTTTGTCAATCGAATTGAAGTGTAATTTTTGTTATTACGTACGTACACCGGCGTCAATAATTTTGTTATTACTTACTTCTATTAATTGTTATTCAATTGTTGTATCGATCGCTTTGTTTTGTCAGTCAAAAATTCTAGTTATTTCCATATAAAGGGTTTAGTACACTGAATACGATATGCTGCTTTAACTTGACGGTAGTTTTGTACAAATACATATTTAAGTCGTTTGCTTGAGTACCTATTTCTCTGCACTTAAATAAATAATAAAAAAATAAAAATAACTTTTATTCAAGTAAACTTAATAATAAGCATTTTTGAATAGTCATTTATTATGAATCTACAATTCAGAATGCAATTTCAGCTGAGAAGCACGAGCAAGAAACACAGCTGTTGCTTTTTTCAAATAAGAGTTAACTGTACAATAAAAAAACTATGACTGGATAAAATGACTATTACAAACTTCGTATTAATAAAAGAATGAAAAAGCTATAACGCTATAATCAATCACAGTATTCTTGATAGATCAGACCAGTTTCTGGCGTCTGTGTCGCACAGTAGTAGCATGCATGGCTGTGTTTTGGTTAGAAGGTGGAATATAGCTGTGTTTTGGTTTGAAAGATGGAATATGGCCGTGTATGGAAATCTAATAATTTTGTCCTCGGGAATAAGGTGTAACGTGGGTTTCGCGGTGCATTTTGCTATGTCCAAACTATTCATGTCTGTCTATAGGCGACGATCACTTTCTTCAATTGGGTTCTTAGCTCATTTTTATCTAATAAACCGTGTAAGTACGTCCTCGTGTTTATATGAACTCTACGATGGCAAAATTAGTTGGCAGTTAAAAGTAAACCCATAACTGTGGTCGTTAAAGCCAGACGTCGGAACGGTTTTAAATTGCCAATAACATGAGAGTGCTAGCTAGCTACCCTAGCCTTTCCATTTAATGCTTTTATGGTAGCTTCATCCGTTAACCTTGGGAATGCGCTGACTCAGCTGTCGACGGCAAAGCGAATAAAAGGTCTTGTTTATTTCTTGCCATCGATCAAAAGGTGTATATATCTTTCAAGTTGGATTTTATGTTAAAAAAAAAATAAGACCATAATTTGTCTACAAGAGACGTGGAATGTTTCTGGAACCGGTGTTATTTATAACGCAATTGGTGTAGAGTTGGCTAGGATATTTAATTTGACACATAATTTGTTTTTATTATCTGCCGACGTAAAAGGTGTGTTTTATGTATGTATTAGAAACCCTTTTTTATGGCGCTGTAGCTTCTAAACGGATGAATCAATTTTAATGATGGTTTCTTAATTGATTGCTGATTTAATGGATGGCCGTATCGTTTTGTAGAAATTAGGCTATCTTTAGCGTTTAGTATAAAATGCTCTATTTTGAATGTAACAGTTGGATCGTAAAGTTTGAACTTAGATGGTTTGTACATGTAAAGGCAACTACAAAACGTTGACGAATATTATTTTCCTTTATATAAGACTTGTACTTGCACAATACATATGTATTGTAGCATATAATGGGAGTCTAATTAAGACCGAATGAAAATAAAGGACGAGGATTACCTTTCATTGGATTTAAAATTCTCCGCAGTAAGGTAAATATAACAAGGAGTTTTGTCCACGAACAAAATACACATCGCGCTATTATTATGCTGAGTCGCTTTTTTGGTATTCGAGTCTTTTAGAACTCATTAAAAAAAGACTTGAATCCTGATTCGAGTCTGAGGACTCAAAGTAGTACTCGAGTACTTACCCTGTAGTCGAATACTTTTTTTTTTATTAATTTCTAAAGTCCAGTTTCGTGTACATAAACGTTCAGTACGTAATTTAATATTTTTTCTTTGACAATTAATGAAAATGTGAAAAAGATATTGAAACAGAAAAACATGATAAACACACAAGTAGTATTCGAGTACCCTAAAAATACTCGAAATTTGTTTTCGAGTTCTGTATATTTAGGACTCGAGTACCTGACTGAGTACGTAGTAGGTATTTGAGTCAGCCTGACTCGGCATTTGTCTATTTCGCGCAGGCCATAATGTCCAGTATGATGGATTCGAATTTATTAGATTCGACAGTGTATTAAAATTTTAAAACAGGTACTTTACTGCTTGTATCAGATTTATTTGATAACATCAATAAGATTATAAGGGCTTTGAGTGTTCGGAATTCACAAAGGACCAATAAGTCTTCCTTTCTTTAAGTGTCTGAAAGGTATTAATTACTGAAACGTGAGAGTTATTAGCTGACGATTATACAGAAAAGGCCAGCACCTGGTACAAAGAATTTGATGTAATTTATAAAGCGGATATTATACGTAGGTATTGGGATGGATCGTGTTCCCTACGCTGTATTGATTATGGAAATTTATATTGTTACGAATATAATTAAGGGGCGTTTATTTAAGGCTTTTAGCTGGAAATATGTTATTAACAAATATATTTCAAAAACTGAAACGAGGATTTTCCCAAGGTTAATTTAAAAAAAAAAAAACTGAAATATTACTGATATACTCAATATAGCGTAATAATAACAGAAATACATTTTCTATCTTGTATTTACCCGATTATCGTATAGTAACGAGTAATTTTTCACTTAGTTTTATTAAGTTGGCAACATTTTGGCGGTTCTTTAAATAGACTTTGGTAAGACCAATCAAAAAGACAGGATGTATTTCAAGATGATCACAGTTAGTGTACGGCCGTTTTAATTATATAATTCGCATATTAATCTTGTATTTTTTATAATAAAGTGAAATTCTGTACAGTATTATATTAAATACAATATTATATTATATACAAATATTGAGTTCTTCGAATAAAACTTTACGGTAAAGTTGTAAAAGAACTTCTCTTTTGTTCTTATTTAATATTGAGACAAAGTTTGTATTCCTATTCTTGCAACTTGTCGCCGTTTTCTTTGAAGCAATAAAAAAGTTAGCGTTATCAAAATTGTCGCTTCAAAGATCAGATAAACGTATAAGCTAAGTAGCTACATTATACATATTTTATACGTATTTATATAAATATACTAGCGGCCCGTCCCGGCTTTGCACGGGTGGAAATTTTTACAATATTTTACATTTCTGTATTTCTGCACTTACCTAGCTACCTATTTCATAGATGTACCTGCCTCCACCTGGCCCTCTTCCGCATCGCTAAAATAGGTACGAATAACATGTACAAAGTGACAGCGTTATTTTTTCTATTTCTATGAATGATTAAATTCGTAATTTTTCTATTGAATGAAATAGCCGATTTCAGCAATGTGTTTAAAAATATAAACATCGCAATAATTATCGCTGACAATTTGCTTTAATCAAAGCACGTCCAAAATGATATGACCGCAGGAATGACATAACAACATGCTTGTACTGTCAACACTGAAAAGTTTCAATTTGACAGCACAATCCCCATCTTAAAAAATTATATATATAAGGATGCAGAGTGACTGACTGACTGACACCTATATCAACATAGAATTTTAGATTTAGGGTCATAGTTAAAAACAAAATCTACGAGAAATCAAGCGCGCGAAGTCGTAGACAAAAGTTAGTACAGTAATAATAACTTTATTGCATAACCATGATTGCAACAAACTCAGCGCTAGAAATTATAGTAAAAGTAGATACGAATTCATTTGTACATTTGGATTAGCTTAAACATCTGCATCTGAACTAGGTTATAAAATCTATATCTCAAACAACAGCGCTCAACCCTTATTAAATACTATATTAGCTCAGCAAAATTTTTAGTACTGCATATAGAATGTTGACTTTATATAAAGTTATATTCAAACAATAATCAAATATATTCAAATGTATATCTATCCTATATTGGTAAAGTTCTGACTTATGCCATCTTATGCTTTTTAGATTGGATACATCTGTGACGATGCGCGCCGAATATTGAAATATACCTCGCAATTGTATTGTTCTGCTTAGAAATGAAAAAGTTTTATTACAACTACAATACAAAACTGAAGATCGGCTTGTATCTTTTGAAAGAAATATTAAGGTGGAGTGTAGACTAAATGAGCGAATCTCCGTTCTTCATATTTGTTTGTTCGAGCGACAACCGCCACTAAAACCACATTTACGAAGGTTCCTTGTATAAGAAAAAAGGTTCCTTACTTTTTAAAATTACTAAACGGCTTTGTTTCTTACTTCTTGGTGCCTTAACGGTATAATCAATAGTTATATAGATATAGGATACTTTTTATCTTG